TATTATTATTGAGATTATTGTGTACATGTATTAAAGTTATTATTATTATTGAGATTATTGTGTACATGTATTAAAGTTATTATTATTTTTGAGAGTATTGTGTACATGTATTAAAGTTATTATTATTTTTGAGATTATTGTGTACATGTATTAAAGTTATTATTATTTTTGAGATTATTGTGTACATGTATTAAAGTTTTATGAGCAGAGTGTGTAACGTTGAAAAGGACGTTGTGTTTTCAACATAAATTAATAAAAATAAATGCGTCTGGTTGACGTCTCAACGTTTTTGTCTCATTTCAACAATTCATCTAAATGTTCAGCTCATGCAGGACACGCCTGCTGCGACTTCTGTCAATGATTTTATGTTTATTAACGGCACTTTCTTGAACAGGTGTGTTTGAGGGCGAGCCTGACCGAAGGTTTGTCGGCCATGTTGTTCTCTTTCAAAATGAGTGGCGCTCTCGTCACGTCCTTCAAAGCCTTGGAGCTCGTTTCAGCTGTTGTTCTTGCTTGGGGCTAATTTCAGCTTCTTTTAGCTCCTTTAAGCTTTTTCTTATTCTTTCATTTCTCTTCAGCCAAATTAATCTTTTTTCTGTCTTTTCAGCTACTATTTATGTACTTTTCTGCTCATTTTACATTTTTTCCTGACGTTATCTTTTAGCTAATTTCAGCTTTGTTGCTTCTTTCTAATAATTTCTACTTGGATGCTCCTTCCAGCCTCTTTCAGTAAATTTGAGCTTTTCAGCTCTTTTTTTGTTGTTGCTAATTTCAGCTTGTTTCTGCTCGTGTCAGTATTTGTTTGGTGAATGTCAGATTGAAATCTTTTCAGCCTCTCTTTGTCTCCTTCAGCTGATTCTGATCATTTCTGTTTCTCACTCTGTTCAGCTTTTGTCGTCTTGTGTTTTCAGCTCCTTCAGCTGATTCTGATCCTGCTGCACCTCCACGTCTCCAGTTTTCATGTTATTCTCAGCTGATGTGTCTTTAGAACGCGCTCTTTTAGCTGCAGACGTCTTTGGTTTATGACTAACGTTATAAATGACAGAGCTCAGAGGCTTCGTCTTCACAGATCACCTGTTCCTTCCTTCTTCATGAAACTTGACAGGTCGAGATGTTTCCAGAGCACATGAAACGTTACAGGCAACATTTATTCTCACAATGTGCTGAAACTTCTGACTTGAACATCAACAGTTTGAATCCTTGAGGATAAAAGTCTGCAGCTCATCCTGTCAGCTGACTTAGTCCAGCTCTCCTCCCGACGGCTGACCGTCTGACTGAATAAGAACAGATCCATCTTTGTGTGTGTGTGGCACCGACGCACCTGTCGGGGGTGGACAGGTACTTCTGCTTCTCGAAGCGTTTCTCCAGGCCCATGAGCTGCAGCTCGGTGAACACGGTCCGGCTCCGGCGGCCTTTCTTGGCCCGTGCGCCTCCGTCTGCTCCGGCCTCCAGTTTCCCACGCAGCTGCAGCTCCAGAGGCAAGTGGCGGCCCGCGGGCCCGACCTGCAGCGCCGGAGCGGCAGACAGGAGCGGTGAGGCCAGCGCACAGGACAGGGGGGTCAGAGGGAACTTCAACAGGCCCGCCTGCTCCGCCTTGACCACTGGAAACACGGGAGGAGAAATTTTACTAACAGAAATGTCACCAGCTGTCTGTAGGAGTAGCCTAAAAACTACTTAATTATTTAAGTAAAGTTCAAATCAGGCACACAGACCTGCTTTAAGTTCTGGTTCTGGGTCAGTCCGTGAGGACCAACGTCCTCCTATGAGATTAGCAAAGAGCTCAAAGCTGACAGACGCTTCACAACAACGCTTCACTTCACAATGTGCGCTTGAATTTTCAAACTGAAGTACCTGATAATATACTCTATTTAATAATAATACACTCTATTTAATAATAATACACTGTATTTAATAATAATACACTGTATTTAATAATAATAATAATAATACACTGTAGTTAATAATAATACACTGTATTTAATAATAATAATAATACACTGTATTTAATAATAATAATAATAATAC